GTTTTGTGTTTTTGACAATTTAAGCCCTAAAATGGGTTTTATGTTAGAATATGTTCATCATAACCTTATAAGCTATCATTCTTGACTTGTTTGGTATAAAATAGCTTAGATTATGTTTGTTTCCTTTCTCATGTCATAGATCTCGGGTTTACACCCCTTTTGTTAACATATTCATCACAAAAACACATGAAATCACACACATACATGCATAAAATCACACATAGCATACGCATACACATAGATCTACACATTTTCTTGTATTCCCCCCATAAAAATCATGAAAAATGAAAAGAAAGGGGTATAAAGCTCACCTTGAGTTGTGGTTTCGGTTTTGAAGAAGATTGGGATAAGTTTGGTGCTATTTTCGGCCCTAGCAAGTTTCTTGGATGGATCTCAAACTTAGTGTGTTCTAAGATGCAAGATCATGAATTTGAATGGATTAAGAGATGATTTTTGATTAAAAGAAGTAGCTAGATCATGGATCCAAACATAAACTTACCTTGGATGATGATTTTTGTGGAAGAATCTCTTTGAAAGTCTCTTAGATCTTGAAAATTTGGAGAGGAGTGGAGAGAGTTTCCTTGAGAGAATATTGAGTGAAGTGTGTGTGTGTTTGTTTGGGTTCGGCCGAGAGGAAGAAAGAGAGGAGAGAAGAGAGAGTGAGTGATGAGATAGGTGCATGGAAGTATGAGAGTATGCATGGAAGTCCACTAAATAAAAATGAGTTGGCACCACAAAGTCAACTCTTTCTTTCTTTGTGGGCTTGGGTCGAGATTGGAGAGGGAAAAGAGAAAATTTGGGCTTTTGAGTGTTTAGCCCATATTATGACTCACTTAGATGATTTTTGGGACCAAATACATCAGAGTGTAATTTTTATGACCTAATAGGGCTAAATTTATTTGGTTGTGAACCATTAAGGCCTAAAATTTTATGTTTCATGTATATGGGTCCATTTAGGGCCCATTAGAGAGTTCTAGATTCAAGATGGATAATTTGGAAGTTTAATAGTCCATTAGGCCCAATAAGGAATCCTAGTCCAAAATGAATTCAAATTAGAATTTCAAAGGTTTCCAATTCTTTGTTGACTGTATGTAGGGCTAGAATGTAGTATTTGATGAAGTTTTGTTGTTATAAAATAAGCATCATACATGCTTTCACATTGTTGGTTCACATTTGTTATCATTGTTCCATGTTTACAAGGCATCGAATTTCCTAGTTGTGACATAGACCGAGAGGAGGTTCGGTCCGAAGGGACCTTCGGGTTCAGGTCATGATCTCGGTTCGGTCCTCAACAGGGGTTTCGGTTCCTAGGTGCTTTCGGTCCAAGAGGCTTCGGCCCTAAGAGGCTTCGGCCCTGTAAAGGGGTTTCAGGTCTTTTAGGGTATTTTACCCGTTTTAACCCTGCTTTAAGCGATTTTTGACTCGGTTAAGGGTCGGGATGACCCGAATGATTACAAAAAGTTATGGGAACTTTTGAGAAAGATTTGGGAGAGATTTCACATACTTGGAGAGATTTGGGAGAGATTTCACATACTTGGATAGATTTGGGAGAGGTTTCGTTTGTGACATTTTTGAGTGTCCGGCTTCGCATTGCTAGGTCTGTAGAACCAGTTAAGCCTTGTTTTAGTGTCCTACACACTCCCGATGAGTGTGCAATAGTGTTTTATCGCTTGGTTCATTATTTAGCACTATTAAGGCTAAGGAAATTCAAACATACTAATTTTCCAAATGATGTTTTCTCATTAGAATAGTGAATTGTACAGTAATTACATAACGTGAACCCTAATATACAAGGGTTAGTTGAGTCATCTGGTTTGACTTGATGACTTTGTTTGACCTTGACTTGACCCGAAATTGACTATTGTCACACGTTTTGATAGTTTGGACTAATATGATCGATATATAAGTGAGTAAATTCATGATATATAAAACTTGACTTTTGTCTAGAAATACAGTAGCTACAATTTTGCACGAATTATCTTGCTTAACTTTAAAAATATTATGATTCTTATTTGAATTTATAGCTTCATAAATAGATGCATATTTTTTAAACATCAAGTTGCCTTTGACTTCTAAGTATTTTTTTCGTGAAAGCTAAAGCTAATTTTCCATAAGTTGTGTTATATTAGTTTTAACAGTTAAAGGTTTGTGATGGTCGATTTCTAATGAAAAAATAGTAACAAAGCTTAATACAACTGGGTACATGGTACGGGAACCAGTTCCGGTTCCAAAATCTAGAGAACCGTTATAGCTAGTTCCGGTTCCAACATTCAATGAATTGTCGGTTTCGGTTTCGGTTCTGATTCCGGTTCCAGATAAATATTGTGGGTACCCGTCTATGCCCACCCCTACGTGAACTGTTGATGGTAGGTGTGTTGTTAGCTCACTTAGGCAAGTTATTGATAAACATCCTGTCTACATTCTTGGTACTGCTGTAAGCAAATGGAGCAAAGAGATCCCAATCAAGGTGTTAAGCTTTATTTGGAGGGTTGTACAACGTAGAATACCATTGGCTGTTGCTTTGGAAAATAGGGGTATTCATGTCAATTCATCTTTGTGTAGTTTGTGTATTGGATAGGTAGAAAGTGCAAACTATATAGTTATTGAATGCCCATTCGCCTCTTTGATTAGAATAGAGTCTTAAGTTGGTGCAGAGGGCATCTAGTCCCAATTCAATAAAGAATACTGGAGACCTACTTCACTTTGTTGCTACATGGGGAAGATGTCCTAAGAAAAGAGAACGAATATCCTTTATTTGCTATGGATTGTTATGGAATTTATGGAGATTCAGAAACAAACAGATATTTCAACATGAGACTACAACACCACTGATCAGGACTGAATGCATTAAGTCCATGGTATACTATTGGTTAAAACACAGGGGTAAAAATGTAACTGTAATTAGGATGATTGGTTAGTCTCTCCTTTTGTTGGTATACAACTATCTGAAATCTTTGTATCTTGTTAATTGGTCCCTCATCAAGTTACTTGCTATGTGGGGGTTCCTCTCTTATAATATATTTATCGTTTCCAAAAAAAATATAAACTTTTGAGTATTGGATAAATTTGCCAGAAGTGATTAATCTTAATACTATGTTTTTTCATATATATATATATATATATATATATATATATATATATATATATATATATATATATATATATATCTATACTACCTTATAATAGAAATCTAATTATTTCCATAAATAGATTCAATATAATAATAATATTTTTTTAAGACGTTCAAGTCTCTAAACCTAAAGTACAACTAATTGTGAATAAAATAATACTAAAATTTTAAACAAGTCTCTTATCTAGGTTTGACCCAACTTCTTTGTTATTTATTTGATCGAGTCATTTTGATTCTGAGATATCAGCAAATATTTGTGGATTACAACCCGTCTTCCTCTCATATCTCGACTCGTCTACTGATTCGTTGCAGAAATTAGATTTAATCATTTGTTTGCTTCCGGTCACACCCTATCTGTCGTCACCAGTAGCACCATCTCCTCCTTCTCTCCACCCATCGACGACATTCACTATTGCTCGATATTGGCTCTGGTTTTGTGAAAACACTATTGTCTCCACTTCTGCATAGTCACACCATCAACCAGCGCCCTTCTAGGGTTTGCTATCCCCTCTCTCTATTTCTCTGTGATAGAAGATGAAGAGGATGGGCACCATGCTACTCCATTCCTGATGCGACTATGTGAAAGTTTAGAACAAGTTAACAGAAAATTGTTCACCATGTGAGCTTTAGGTGTATTGCTATTGATTTTGGATAAATCAAAGGCTAACTACTTTAGTAAGTGCACGCAAGTTGGAAATGCTTAAATGACTATGTGTTACATGTTTGAGTTGACCATTTCATCTATGGATTTGAGTCACTTGACAGAATCTGCGTAAACAAACATTTCTGGAAAGCTTAGATGACATCGTGGATGTAATTTTAGTTTCATTTCCCCCTTCAGTCTAAATTAATTCTGCAATATAGTTGAATTCAGGTTCTGTTGACTGTTGAGTGAATGCATTTGTTATCTCCTTGTGTCCTCTTATACTTGTGCATCTGTTTGAACTTATTTATTATATCATCCATGTATCTTTCTGTTTTGATTTGGAATTTTCTCATTGACATTTGTTCAATTATATGTGTTCTATTTCCTCTTTCAGATGCAATCAGGGTATGGTCGTTCTCTATTTGAGTCCCTCCTTCCGCTGATTTTGGGGCATGATATTAGTGGTGAAATTGCAGCAATTGGGCAAGAATTTTTTAGGGCACTTCATCCAACATCTATGAGAGGCACTTACACCGATTATGCCATTCTTGCAGAAGATCAACTTACCCCAAAACCATCAACAATCTCACACGTGACACGTGGTATGTATTATGTTTTCTTTAACATCATTAACCTCTCTTTTCTTGTTCATTTTCTTCATATCTATCCTAACTACATCAAATCTATATGTTGCATTCATGATCCTCCAGGATGCAAGTGCAATTCCTTTTGCTGCCCTAACAGCATGATGTGCTCTTAAATCTACTGCCAGGATAAGTAAAGGGTATGTTTGTAATTTGTTGCACTTTGGCTATAAAGTTTTATATATAAAAAAAGAAACTCATATTTTTTCACTTAATGTCTACAGATAGAGGGTATTAGTGGTGGGTGGAGGAGGAGCTGTAGGTTACTCTGCAGTTCAACTAGCTGTTGTAGCAGGCTGTGCGATTTTAGCTACATGTGAAAGTGAAAGCATAGATCGCCTCTTGGCAGCTGGTGCTGAACATGCACTCGACTATACCTTTGAGGTGATGTAATTTTGAATGTTTGTCAGGGGTAAGGGCGTCTTTTACTTTTAAGTTGTGTTCTCAATGTTTGAATATTTATGATGTACAGGATCTGGAAGTAAGATTGAAAGGAAAGTACAATGTTGTTTTAGACCCGATTGGTATACAACAAACGGAACAATTATGAATCAATCTTTTAAAACGAGGCGGACATTACATGACATTGCAGGTGATAAAACAAAACCATGTTGTGATTAATGGATTTTTAAAGTTAATTTTTATGTTGATATGTGTTGATTTTTGGTTTAGGGGGAGTCTGCATCATTGAGTGATAGATATGGTCTGGTTATTGGCCTTCCTACTGCTACTTCCATTTTGATGAAGAAACAGATTCAATATCGGTTATCTCATGGAATAGGTAAAACTCATTCAAACAAGTATGACTGAGATTACTTTTCTAAAATCAATCTGATAAACTACAAGCATAGACATGCTGCTGTGAATGATTGTACATTGCTATTAAATGGTTGTACGTATATGAACTTGGAATGGAACTGAAAGATTAAAAATAAACCCTAGCTTTCGAACGGATAGAACACTCCAGAGATCATTTATCACTGAATACGCTCCAAGATACCCACTCTCTAACATCAATACGTAATTAGACTGAACTAACTAAGAGAATGACCAAAATACCCCTCAATCTCTCCTTTATTACAGATGCTTTACTTGTACTTATTTCCTACCTTTAAAAATACTATGAAGTGTAACATGTTTCTTTTTGAATTAATGCAAAAATATGATTTAAGAGATACAGACATGGAAATGAGGGCCTCCCTATCAGGTATATCTATAGCTTTTCATATATTTATATCAATATTTTGTAAATTGTAATAATTATCCTTGCATGGTCAGTGATATGTACATTATCACAGTGGTTTCCGAAACTTGAAGTAAGTTGTTTTTAACTTTTACATAAAATATTTGAGAATGTGTATCTTTATTTCTTATTTAAGCATTTCGTAAATTTATAAAATATCTAAGAATCTATATAATTATTATATTTGAAATTTATAATTTTTAATGAAACAAACAACTGTTCATTCAGCCCCAAAAGAAACTATATTTCATTTCTTTTAGAGTCAGTGAGGGTTTAGGGTTTAGGGCATTATTTATCCATTAGTCCGGGCAACAACATAACGAACAATAAAAGAAAAGAAAATGTTTTCATTTTGGCAATACAAGGGCAATTAAAGTCGTGAGTGTTTGAGTTAAGACGTTATCAATATGACTTATGGAGTAAGTGTTTTTGCAGAATATTGGTGGACTTATATGAGGACAAATGCAAAAGGTCTGGTTGAGATTCGGAGGCTGACTGAGGCTGGGAGACTGAAAGTTTCTGTTCAGAAGACATTCCCAATTATGCAAGTGCAAGAGGCACATCAAGCTAAAGATACAAGGATAAATCCGGGTAAAGTAGTTCTTCAACTCACAGGCCTCGATAGTATTGATCATTCCTCAATAGTCTGATGATTTTAAAGATTTCTAAGGATCCTTTTCAACATTTAGGTGCTGGTCGATTAAAAATTGACTTTTGGGTAATTTTTGCTCTAGGTGCTCTAAAAGCACCTCTCCATTGAATGGAAGACCTGAGGTAATACGATAATGTATGGTACATGAAGCATATTTATTGTCTCCATAACAACCCCACAGATTGCAAAAGAGATCAGGAATGTCCATAATATTGTAGGGTTCAAGAACTTCTTCCCTTTACAGGTTTGAGCTCAAATTATTTGTGTTTTTAGGAATTTTTCATAAAAATGTCATTGATGAATTTATCAGTTTGGTATAGATTGACTTATGTAAACCGATTAATCTTTTTCATTTCAGTCCATTATTGAGCTACGGTCGAAAGTTTTTTACAACCTTGATATTACCTTATTTGTTATTGTTGGTTTCCAATTTATTAGAAACAAACTTTTTAACACAACGAATCATTTACAAATCAATATTTTTGTATCAAACCTATAACCGAACGGCTTTAGTGTCAGTAGGTGCCTAAATGAAGTGATTAAGCGTCGGGGGCTTGTGTTTGTATATGTAGTACGTTGAAAATCTTATAAATGGGTGGGATACATTCCAATGGTTGTCATCACATCATAAAATTTTATGGAGAGTTAATAATAAAAAAATTGAAAATACATTATTAAAAGTAAAGAATTGAAAGTAAAATACTATAAAAAAAATAAATGTATAAACATTTGTTTTAAAATTATAAATAGGAAATTTTTCATTGTTTTTTCATAGACGATTTTTATTGTCTTGATAAACAATTGTATTTTAATTATAATTTGTATATGCTTTCAGAACCAAAAAAACAACTCAAGATAGACTGCAAATAAAAAACGGTTTGAATATTACAAACCCACAACACATTAAACCCATTAAACCGGTCAAAGTTCTGAAACAAGCTAAGATGTTACTATTGTTTGGAGTTAATATTTTGATTGATTAATTGCAATTTACAAAGAAGTGACACACAAATCGATTTATCAGTGTTTGAGGATTGTAAGGACTAAAGAACTATCAATATTTTGTTAGTTGGTTAATATTTAATGATTTTTTTGAACTGGCAAATACAAATATATAATCTACTCCTAAACTAACACCTAAATTCGTATATGTTCACAATGGCATTGAACCTTCGACCTCAAAGAGAGAGGGCACTACCTGATACCGTTGAACTAGAAACCCTTTTGATGCAATAGCCGCAAGTATACATCAAAACCGAAATAAGTTAATCACCGCTCATAAACTATTCGCTCCCGCCGCTTTGCGCGGGTAAACGACTAGTATATATATATATATATATATATATCTATATATATATATATATATATATATATATATATATAAAGAGAGAGAGATAGAGATAGGTTGAGATATTATAACTAACTATTGTGTGATTGTATGTATAATTGTAGGTCAATCATTTGGTAAAATTGTAATCTTACCTATTAATTAGTTTTGGTAATTTAATAATTAAATTATTATTTCCTTTAATTTAGGAAAATTAATTTAAAACCCTACGTTAGACGTCGATCTTTAAACTGCAACTGGTTTTGGTGGGTGCTGCTTCAACAAAGAACGACGAGGGAGAAGGACGAAAGGTGAAGCTGTGATCAAGGAACTGTACTAATCGATCAAGGAACTGTACTAATCTAGAGAAAGAGAGGTCAATCTAGAGGTGTTTGACTTATAGTTGCGGTTCCAAGGTAATGGTTCTCATCATTCATTCTCCTTTTTTTGTTTGGTACTCGTCTTTAAATCACCATCACTATCGGCTGCCATGGCCGCCGACCATTGCTGCCATCGTCGACTACATACCACCTTGTTGTGGTAGCAGTGGGTGTGTCTCAGAGGCATAGTCGTCGACTATCACGGCTGATTGTTCTTGATTGAATCACGACCTTCTGAATTAGGGTAAGATGCTTAAGCATCTATCTCAAACCCTAAAATCATCACCTAGAAATATGTTTGTCTTAACTTTTCCCGTGATCGGCCTGATCTCATGAGGTATATAACATTGTTCTTCATTGGGTTTATAATTTATGATGCTTCTAAGCTGAAGCACACCACCTGTTTGACAATAATCCTCTGTGAAACTTCTCCACCTCTTGAATGATAATATTGTTTTCAAATTTCTCCATTACTTATCAGGAGACAGTTGGGATCCGGTTGAGTTGAAAATCGGAGATTGGTTATGTAAAAGGTATACTAGATAGTAGATGTTGTAATATGTTTCAGCATTACTATTTGTATTCCGAGGTATATCTTAATTTATAATTTTCCTGCCAAACAAAATTTTGATCAAATGCAGATGGACCTCTGGTGAGCTATGCAAATGGAGTTTATGATACATGACTTAGTCGATACATCACTTTTAGATGATGGTGAGGGATAAGGCATAGATATACTATTAGGTATATCATTTAACCTTAGGATTATTGCTTGAAATTGCCATGGAAAGAAGATTAAGAAATAACAATGAGTGATTGTATTTATCATTTGCAGGTACACATGAAATCAAGAACAAGAATGTTATTGTTTTCTTGGCTGGGAATGAAACGACAGATATCAAAGCAAAATAGGGTACATATGAAACTTACAACATTCTACTGGAATGGAATCTTGAATTCTGATTCTGTCAGAATAGAATCTTGAAGATGAACATTGTATGGGATGAAGATGAACAATGGCCACCAATCTTCCAAAAAGAATGGATTATTCCAGCAAAATAATATACAATATAATGAAAAAAAATATATGTAATGGTATATTCAGGTAGAATGACTTATATATTGTATTTGTTTGTTATTAATAAGCGTAACATTCTTATACAATAATATATAATTTTTTTTTCTTTTCTAAGAATGTAATGAAATTTTTTTAACTTGTATCCAATTTTTTTTAATTCTTCAAGAAGTTTATTAAATCAAAACATATATTATCTCAGAATATGTATTCTTGTATGGTTCAATCATATTTGTTATTTTTCAATATATTGATAAACATATTCCGTTAGAATTTTACGAATTAGGAGAATTATCATCCATACAATTAAATTTTTAAAATTAATAGAATCTACTTTCCCTTAAAATATGCAATTTTCCTTAAAATATGCAAATTTCCTTTATTAAATCTATATTAATTGACTAAAATATTCTTTTAGTTAGAATAGATTGTATTTTTGAATTATATTTAATTCAATAATATGTAATAATCACAATCACTTACTTAAAATAAGTAAAATTGATTGACACACATTTATACATACAATAACACAATAATTACTTTGATTAAAATAACCTAAGTATATATATATATATATATATATATATATATATATATATATATATATATATGGGTAAAGTGAATATACCTAACAACCTTATATAAGCTTAGGTACCTAACCACATCATACTCTGTGAATTTGTATCATATATATATATATATATATATATATATATATATATATATACATATATATATATATATATATATATATATATATATATATATATATATATATATATATATATATATATATATATATATATATATATATATATATATAAACTTAGGTTCAAATGAAAACAATTATATAATTGAGATCGTGAGAACAAATTTGGGCCACATATTTCTTTTTTCCGCAATATCCTCTAATGTACCGGCTCGACAGAGGAATGTACAGGGAAGAAAAAATAACTGATAATACTCATACGTGAATAAGTATGTGTATATTCTCAAGTGATTATTCATATATGAATATACTTATTCATATATGAAGATGATATATATATATATATATATATATATATATATATATATATATATATATATATATATATATATATATATATATATAAACTTAGGTTCAAATGAAAACAATTTATTAATTGAGATCGTGAGAACAAATTTGGGCCACATATTTCTTTTTTCCGCAATACCCTCTAACGTACTGGCGCGACAGAGGAATGTACAGGGAAAAAATAACTGATAATACTCATATGTGAATGAGTATGTGCATATTCTCAAGTGATTATTCATATATGAATATACTTATTCATATATGAAGATGATATGTTCCATCGTCCCTGTATGTTCCTCCATTGTGCTGGTACGTTGGAGGGTTTTGCAGCAAAAAGAAATGTGTGGCCCAATGGGTTGCTTTAGTTGTAGTGGTGGTTGTTTGTATTGACCTAGGAATATTAAGTTCCTTCGTCGTGCTAGTATCCTGTAATGATTTGCGGCAAAAACAAATATATATTTGGCCCATATTTATTCTTGCGTTCTTGATTTCATAATTGTTTTCATTTGAACCTTTATATATATATATATATATATATATATATATATATATATATATATATATATATATATATATATATATATATATATTGTAACGTCCCTAAAAAAGACCCAAAAAATTTCATTTTTAGTTTATATAAAACGATACTTCAAAACATTTTTATACAACCCAAACAGACCAAATTATGTCACTACATCATATCATATCACAGTAAATATCAAAATACGGAAATATGTGGTGTGTGCTTTGCAATCATCCCGGGTTCATCCATTTCGATTCTGAAGTACTTGAAACATAAACGGTAAACCGTAAGCATAATACTTAGTAAGTTCCCCAAAATACCACATATCATACATAAACAAAACACATACTAGGACCTCACCCCACATCCGGCCTCGTTCGACATCAAGTCCCACTCGGCCTTGGGCCCCGCCCGACATCGAGCCCCACTCAAGTTACAGATTTGTCATTCATTAGGTATCGCCTGACATCGGGCCCCACCTGGTACACATATGAACATATAAACATATAATCATGCTAACACATACGATATCTCAAAGCCAATGTCATCGGGACCCACCTGGTACACTCGGGCCCCACTCAAGTTATGGATTTGTCATTCATTAGGTATCGCCTGACATCGGGCCCCACCTGGTACACATATGAACATATAAACATATAATCATGCTAACACATACGATATCTCAAACCCAATGACATCGGTCCCCACACATATGTGTTGGATTAATGTCTAAGTCCATAACTATATTTGGTATGTACTTGACCCGACCCAGCATGGTCCATTTGGGTTGCACTTCACCGACACAATTTTATATGGATAATCTTTTGAGAATAGTATGTTTATGATTACATATTAATATATTATAAGTTCTAATATATTATTATGGAATCATATTATTTAATTAGTATTGATCAAGAATTAGTTTATAATTAATTAAGTGATCAAAAGGAACTAATTAAATATGGACTCTTATATATATAGAATGGGCCAAGTTCATTTAGGTTGGGCTAAGCTTTCATGGATAGTCCATGGAGTGTTTAACCCATGGATCCTGGGAAATGAAAGGTCATGGGTATTAGGGTTTAACCCTAATCCTCCACACTATATAAAGATGTCCTTGGTTGGTGAAATTGGCACTAGTGTGGTACACTAAAAAGGGCTAGCCGATTTCACTAGAGAGAACCAAGTATCCATATTCTCTAAAGTCTTCCAAGGTGTTTTGGTGATTTGTGATTCCACTTGAGGCTTCCACACTATTAGGGCTAAGCTCTTAAAGCTTGAAGACATCAAGCTACATTTAAAGGTATGTATTCTATCTTGTTACATTCATTGATTCGTATGCTAGATTAGGATAATACCTTGGAAGTTCTTATTTGCATGTATACTAGAGAAAACATAGATCCAAGGTTTATAGGGTTGCATGTACACCATAGGAGTGTTAGAATGCTCAAAACCCAACAGTGGTATCAGAGCCATGGGTTGTTTTTTTGTTATATTGATGCAAATATTTTATTTTCAAAGTTGAAAAAAAATTGACGTTTGTCAAATTTTAAGATAATTACTTGTTTTGTGAAAAACTAATTATTTGTAAAATTTGAATCATTTGCTATATGAGTTAAATTAGGTCAAATTTAGTAAAAGATAAAATGATATGATTATTTTATTAGTTTTAAAAGTTTGATCTAAAGAGTTTTTGAAACCTCCATAAGTTATGGATATCAAAAGATTTAAAAAAAAATTGATTCAAAGTTTTTTATGGAGTTACAAAAATTGTTGTTAATGCTTTAAAGAATTCCATAACTTGTTCATAAGTTATGGAACATGAAAAGTTTCATCATTAAACAAACATTAAACTCCATAAGTCATGGAATCCAAAAGTTTTTTTTTGAATTATTTTGATCTTATGAGTTGATTTAGATTAATAGAAAATTATGTTTTCAATCCATTTTAATCTGAGAGTTGATGCTAAAATGTGTTTTTGTAACTTGTCCTCAAGTTATATGAAAAGTCACATTTATGTTTCATAAAACTCATAAAAGTTGGCAAAGGTTACAAAATGAAGAGTCTAGTTCTAATTAATTGGAGTTATGACTCCATAATTTGTCCTCAAGTTATGGAGGACCAAAAGTCTCTTCATTAAATAATAAAAAAAAAGTGTAACCTTAATTAATTCCATAAGTTATAAAATAAAGAAAAGTTAATTCTTTTATTAGTTTAAAGTCTTCCATAACTTGTCCTCAAGTTATGGAACTTGAAGAGTTTTTGGATTAAAACTACTTTAAACACATAAGTTATGGAATTAATTAGTTTTGAATAGTTTCAAACTTGCCCTCAAGTTTTGGAATTTGAAAAGTTTTCACTTATGAATACTTTAATTCCAAGTTAGCCCTTAGAATTTTAAAAGTTAAAATTCAACCCTTATACTTTATAATATTATAAGTTAATAATATATATATATATATATATATATATATATATATATATATATGTATGTATAAGAGTAAAGTCAGTCTTACCGCTAGTACGCCTCATTCACGAAGCCGGTCTATAAGGTGGGTATAAGGTTGTTGCCTATAAAATGGCAACTTAATGGGTGTCCACTCTCACCTACCGCTTGCCTGACTGGTGGAGGGTCGTTAGCTGAACGGGTTTGACAGGACTATAATTCTCCCTTCATTAAAAGTATTAATGATAAATACTAAGTAACTAAACTATTAATAATTCCCAATCTTAGTTACTTAGGAAAATGTGAATAAGGTGCTAATCCATGAAATTACACTTTACACTTTGTCTAAGTCGTTAGTGGAGCGTGTGTGGTTAACCGGCACACTAACTTGGACTTAACAAGGTAGGTAAAGGGTGACTTAATATTTATCATAGTATCGATGGAGCGTGTGTGGTTAATCGGCACATCGATTGAGGGGTAATTTATTAAGGGTACCAAGTAATTTGCATGGTTACTTCACACCTTGTTTTGTGATCCTCGGCATCCCAGTCACAAAACCTGAAGGGCACACTCGAGATTGAAACATGCCATTGAACAGTTCAATGAATCTCAAAAGATCTAGGAGTTTCAAAACCAATTAAAAACCTAATAATACATTTCGTTTATCTTGGTGGAAATTGGTGAATCGTCATTCACCTACCTTCAAATTTTTTATAGCTTGGATTACGGCATACCTCTTCTAAGTTATAAAATAGTTTGTTGGGTCCTAGCCTTAATATTTCATATTGGGTGTCGTATTAAGGACTTAAGATCAACTATCTTGAATATCTCCCAAAACATGTCTGGTTTAGACATTTATGATCTTCCCAAATCTCTTGAAACAAGCTTTCCTAAATGAAGATGATGTCCCATGGAAATCATACTTCTTTCACCTCCTCCAATTATTCTCCCTAACCCACAAGTTCTTGAAAAGTTTAAGGTCACTCGAGCCCATTGGCAAGTAGAGGTCTAGGTGTGGTCACATCTTGGAGATGTAGTCACATATTGACAAGCCGGGAGAGTTGGGTGTCAAAGTCTAGAGAAAGTTGGTGGTTCAATCACTTTCTAAGTCACATAGTGAGTTCTTTTGGAACACCTATGAAACAGATTATGACAAGACCCTTAATGATCTTATCTATTTGTTAAGATCAACTTCCTTAAAACTTGATGGACATTGACAATAGTGACACAGGAAATCCAGAAAAGCATTCTCTTCCCAATGGAAAGGGATCGGCCATAGTCAACTCGGTTGAACAAATGGTAAAGAGAAAAGCTAAGTCTGTGATAGTCCCGTGTACCATTATCAAAGGGTCCATATGTTTATATTGCCAAAGAAAGGGTCATTAGTTGCGAAGCTGCCAAACTTACCTAAGGATGTTAAAGTCAATAAGTTTGACTCTACTTCAGGTAAAGTCCACTATCTAACTCTGTTAAGTTTCCTGAGATTCCGATTGATTGAACATGATGACTGGGTCACATGGTGATGTTTTAAGAATCAAAGAAAAGTGAAGAAACTTAAAGAAAGAATATGCTAAATTTGATCGCGTAGATGGATTTCTATCGCATAGTTTGAAGATCGGATTCTTGAGCTACTTCTTAGGAGTTATGAGATATTGCTTAGGAATAGATAACAACAAGTTTTCATATGGATTGTAAGGATAAGTTTTTCCGCATAGTTTTAAAATAAAAGAAAATTTTTGATTTTATTTATTTTAAAATATCCTTACAATGGCATTTGAGGAAAAATTGTTGCTTATATGATTCCATTAAGAGTAAGAGTGGAAATATGAAATTGATTCTTTCATTTGTGGTAATGTCTAGATTTACCAAATAAGGAAAGATTCTCATCATCCAAGTTTCAATTGGACCGTAACTTGGAATCATGCAAGTTGTATAGCATGATGAATGAGAACCTTCAAGTATTGGAAAATTAAGACTAATTACTTGTTCACATGGATGTGTGAGTAATGTGAAGGACTAAGGGATTGAGTACACATTCTTGTGCACTGGTCAAGTCCACCACAAAAGATCGATAAGACTATTCGTCATAGTTTAATAAAGCTTAGTAAATATGGTTATACTTACAAGCTTAAGTGTAACTCTGAGACATTGGAAAAGGTTCCAATGTAAGGCAGAGCGAATAAGAAGAATCAAATTTAGGCAGAAGGATAAAAGTTTCTCAAATCTGAAAGAGGGAGAGTACTTTAGTATCAGTTTTTGTGATCATCTTAATGATTAAGAAACCATAGCACAATTAGTTCTCTAAGGAAATCTTAGTGCATTCTTATGACTAAGAAGAGGAACCTGAATTGTTGAAATGGTTAAATCAAGAAGATGAGTCATACTTCGTTCCAAAAACAATTTTGAGAGTCATACTCCAAGATTGTAACTTGAGTGACATGTCTTAAAGAAGATTTAAAAACACAAGTCAAATGTAAGAGTAAAAGTTATCTACTCTTGGACATTTGAAATTGGTAAGTTGTGATGTTTTAGATAAAACAAAGACCAACTAAGGCCAAATGTGTGAAGTGTTTGTCTTGATTAAAATCCACACTATCTCTTGGATGTTTGACAAGGGAGTCTTATAGGTCAAGAGGACAGTGGAAGTCTTAAAGGTCTTGAAAGTCTCAAGAACTAATCAAGAATAGAACCTGAAGTTCTTCACTAGCACACGACTTGAGGTTTATAACCTATCGTGTTGACATATTTTGTGCCCATTCTAGTTAAAGTTGGCTTTGCATATGAGTTCTTAGAGTTCTCAATGTGTTGCACAACAACTTGGAAGCAATGGCAGGCCCTTGAGCTGCCAGGTGGCAAGAAGTTAATATTGAGGAAACACTTTCACTAAGTAGATTTTAGCTAGATAGCAATTGTGATATTTGGATTCTCAAAGTCGTTAGTGGAGCGTGTGTGGTTTACCGGCACACTAACCTGGACTTATGAGAAGTGGAAAAAAGGTCTAACCATTATGATTACGGCATCCCTCTTCATAATTGTTTAGACACACAAGTGTGCTATCTAAGGGAAGGTGTATGATTTTGATAAAGTTTTATCAAAACAATCTAGTATCAGAAATCTGAACTTTGGTAAGAAAGTCAGCTGATTTCTGAGTACATGTCAAAGCTAGTGGGAGCATAAGTATTGTGCTAATAATTATGATAAGTATTGCAAGTTAGCAATGTTAATTATAGAAAACAAAAGGTTTAAATTGGGAAAGAGTTGTTTGCTATAATTAAGGGAGAGGAAATTATACTTCATCTCAAATCTATAAGCTTAGATCGTGAGGTTTTAATCATTTAGTCAAGGATATATATATGAATTTCATGTTGGAATGGCTCAACATAAGGAAATTCTGTATATGGGTCCATTATTTGCGTTCTAAAATTCGATTATGATTACGGCATCCCTTTTCTTAATCTGAATTATGAGAACTTGGCAAATTGAAATGGAAATATTATGGCAAGAGACTGGTTTAGTCTTTATGTGAGACATCATGAATCGTGTCCCATATGCTTCGAATATAGGATCGATTACATGTGTTATATTCATCCTTTCTAAAATTTTCCAAATGCCTGGGGCATTAAGAAGGGAAAAGGTTTAGAACTGGATATGACTAAAAGGATTAAACAATTGTCGAGGACAATCTAAGGTTTACCAAAGATTGGTTTCTCAAGGACAGTTGGAAGTATAGTGATAATTCTGGAAGGACCATATTGACCTAATCTGTAAAGAGGCAACTCTTGTTCAGAAGTGATAGTCAAAATGGAATCTGGAAATCTTTCAAAGTTAGAATTTTCAATCTGTGTAAGATTAAGGAAACTTAATGCAAGAAGGATGTTTCCAAGGAGTTGATCTCCTTTGGAATGCTCTGTAATGTTTTTTGTCAAGACTTTATGACTTTGTGCATAATCATTCACTACTAGAAAAAAAGCCTTTTACGACGCTCATTGCGCGTCGTAAAAGGCTCAGACGACGCGCAAATGCGCGTCAAGGAAGGCCCTGTCATAAAGAGAGACGACGCGCTTTTGCGCGTCGTGTATAGACGACGTGCATTTACGATGCGCGTTTACGACACCCAATGCGTATCAAGGAAGGCCCTATCATAAAGGAAGACAACACACATTCGAGTGTCGTAACTTTACGACGCGTGTGTTAATAACACGCAATGCGTATCAAGAAAGCCCCTGTCAAGAAAGGCCATGTCATAAATGAAGATGACACACTTTTTTGCGTATCGTAAATTTAAATGTTTAAAAAAAATAAATTTATATATTTATTAATTTTTAAATTAAATTTTCATTTAATTTCTCATAATAGAAATAAAATACCATATACAAAAAATAAACAATCCATTGCATAATATAAAATAAAATTTCATACTCAAAAAATAAAATAAATTGCACAAATTATAATGTCATACAAAGAATCATTCAAATGTTAAACAAAAATAACACATTGCTAACATGGGTTATACATTCCTATAAAACTAACAAATAATCATACAACTTTGTTTCTTACTGGAAAGGAATTCCAAACATGATTACAAGTCTCCCTTAATCTTGATTACTCACCTGCTTAAGTAGAATGTTGTTGTTGAGACGGTTACCTAGCAACAGATAAAAACACAACACCTCTCCCACAATCACAAAATCATTTACAGAAAAAGGGTTGTCAATTACTTTCATTAAGACTTTCATTCAATCACAAAAATATTAAATAAAAGTGTGAAAAAATAACTTACTTTTGATAAGTTGATCTCCTTTAGATCAAGCACAGCTAAAGCATCGAACAAGACCCTAGGTCCTTCTTCTAATTGAAACACAATGCTCGTCTGCAAAATTGAGACGATAAAATAAGATTTGAATATTGTTTGGGTAGTTTATATATGATTTGATAATTTGATTACAAATACAATAAAATAAATTATCTTTTTTGTTACCTTATGGGGCTTGTCAACTCCTGGGATTATAGGTTCTATTGCTAGTATTAGAAAACGAGTTATGTTATCCAAATCATCCTGAACATTCAATATAACAATTGTAAGACAAAAGGAGAAATGTATATTTGAAAATACTATGAGATGTGATTTTTTTAATGTTATCAATCCATAAATTAAGCGCAGCAAATAGTTACCTATCTTTTCTAAAAACTATTATAGGGGTATATTGACCGAAATGCCCTTGCATTTGTATACATGTTTACAAATATAACTTTAATAACTAGGTGACACCTGGATTGTTTGTGATAGAATATCAAGCCCAATTTCAGCAGCTCGAGAACTTACAACTGCTCTAGTGTCTCGTATGGATTTCGAGGCTACAATCTATTAAAAAAACTCTTAACAAATTATAAACAAAGAAAAAAACACAATATTAAAAGTTTAAACACAAGAATCAGCAACTAGTTTCATTTACCTATCCATAGTTTCAGTTTATACTAATCAAAATATAATAATAAAGAAAAAAGTTGAGAAGAACTTACAGCTTCTACCATCAAACAATGAGTCAGCACTAGCTTCCCATTTATCTTGAAATGAATATTTTCCCTTCTGTAAGAAATTTAGAGCCTTAACCACCTGTACATGTATAAAGCACATGTATCAACGCATAAGCATGTGAAAAAGACTGAAAAATTGAAGTGGGTATAAGGATAAAGGATTATATAGTATAATTACTTGTTCTAAAGGTAAGAAGAATGCTAAAGCACTTGAAGATTTGCTTCCAGCATTTAAGGCAACAGCTCGTCCTTCCCAATCAACGACTGAGGACCCACTTGAACCACCTTTGGTTCCTAAAGCTGATTGTCATAACCAAAGAAATTAATAAAAATTAATAACAAACCTGAAGCATTGATCACGAGTAGCAATGACAACACTTGAAAGGTTTTCATCAACTAAAGCCAAAGGTCCATGTTTCATTTCAACACCATTTGTTATAACTTAAAGCAAAATATTGGGTAAATTCCGGAACTTGTTTCGTTGGATGGAATAGAATGACAACTAGAAAATAATATAATAATAAACTATCCAACATCAACTTTCTTGATGCATGAGCAAAAGAAGAGTGAAAAGCTTCTGATGGAAAGTTTTATTTATGGACACCGGATCGATGATGCCCAGATTTTCAAAAGGCATAGAAAGCAATAAGAAGTTAGAAGTGAAGGGCATCTTGATGTGCTTAAGCTTATATTCGTACCCAAAAAGAAATCTTGATGATGACTTTTTTACCCTTATGGATTCTGTTGCAAAATTTTCAGCCAATGTTTTGGTAAATCTAGTTGGTACCCATTAGAAAATAGGAGTGTTGCTAAAGAGTATCTCATCTAGTAATTAACAGTGAATGCAAAATTCATCATTTACATACAAAGTTCAGCCCTGCATTGAGAGAGGATGGAATAGACAAGTGTTAGAAACTACCACATATGGGGTAAAATGGTAATTTAGTCAGCATACATTATAGATGATCTAATTGAAGCTTTACCTTAGTAGATGGTCTTGGAAGATTTAAAAGTGATTACTGTATCGGAAGTGCACTGGTTTTATCAGAAAAGGACATGAGTACAAACAAGATGAAAACTTTTTTATAAATTGCAATTTGTCAATATGTTGACCATCTTACTTGTCATTGTTGACTAAAGATCCAAAACCTATATCATAACAAACTTGCATTACGCCTGTAGACAGGATGCTCACTAGGTGCAGTTAACAAAGGAAACAAGAAGAAAACATCTAGGGATGAGAGAACACCAATCGATCACTTTTTGGAATGAGAAAGCCTGATTCTTGAAACAATCTGACGAAGGGAATGTTTGCTCCATGTCTCAGAGGAAGCATCTTCTATATCCAGATAATCAGCGAGAAGTACCAAGGCCTGAAACAAAACACAATAAAATGACAACCAACAACCAACAAGAAGAAGTCGGAAAGAATACTGCATTTATTAACTCAGGTACTACTATGATAAACAGAAATATATGGACTTGCATTTGCAAAAATTTGATATACTCAATTGCATCACCTAGAATACTTGCTTTCTCTCTCTCTCTCTCTCTCTCTCTCTCTCTCTGTAGTTGATGTAAGTTTAGTTCCAAAACAGAAAGGGGAAAAGAACAAAAAAAGAAGACCCCAAAAAACAACAGAAACAAATTTTGTCATCACCTTGTTGCAGTTGGGAAAAAGTGTCTAGAGGGTTCTTATTTAATCAGATAGAGAGTAAGAACTTCTCATTTAATCAGATAATTAACATAAACTGTGTTAGGATGATTATGTTCCTTGAAGAAGTAACACTTGAGTAATACTTCTGTAAGAACTTCTCAACAAATGTAACCATGTTTCTAAAAAAGAAATTTAAGAACATACCTAGTTTCACCTGACAAAATTTAGTTTAAATGTTGCTTAGTTGTGATAATCTACAGCCTGAAAAGAAGGAATGCTCACAAGAACGATCCCTAGCTACCATGTCTGAAAGAAGACCGTTTATGAAATTATCCGATATCTCATGCATGTAAGATTTTAATCTCTCCTTCAATGTTTTTGTATTCTCGACTATCTAAGAAAACTAGAAAAAGACATTTCATATTGAGTAAATATATAATTTGAAAAGATACAAAATTGATAGCGAAAGATAGTAATAAATCATACTTGCACATGATGATTGGGTGATTTATCGGTGTATGGTGACCCAACATCAGAACCAACAGACGATCCCTTCTGATTGTAAGCACTTCTACTCACAGGAAACAAATCGTCTTCTCTGTTACCACTCTATACGAATGATTTCTTGTAAAAATATGGTTGTGACAGCTATTATTAAACTTTATGAGTTTGTAAGAAATTAAAGATAAAGAACCTTATCCTTGACTTCTGAAAACATGTATCGAAGATTGCTCTTGTGGAAACAAATCATCATCTCCGTTACCCTCCTTTTTCATCACTAACCTGTTTCCATTTTTCAAAAATTCAAAATCATAGAAACCAATATTATATACAATCGCCAAGAATGAGTTATATATATATATATATATATATATATATATATATATATATATATATATATATATATATATATATATATATATATATATATACATATCAAAAACAGACTCTTCCAGGGTCATGAAAGAGACTAAATTAATTTACATTACATCATTAGTTACCTTTTCCATATTCACAATATACCCTCCAATTTTCTTAAACTCGTGCCTGTACACATAAATCAATAGATCAATAGCACTCTGATCAAGAATGATAAAAATTCAGAATTTGGACTTTTGATACACTTTTTTGGTAAACTCTAGCAATTTTTCATCTTTGTATTTGGTCATCATCAAAATTTCCTTGAAGCAAAATAGCTAAAATGAAAAGGCATTCAATCCTTAGGAATTTCCAAGGTTAGCATAGGCGGAAGGAAATCATTTCTACAGCTTTCTACTAGAGTTATTTCAATTAAATGTGTACGAAGAAGCATGTAATGTAGGAGAAAAACGTACAATTGTCTCATGGTCTTTCGAATTTCTAAATCTTCTTGTTTTTTGCTGGTTCATTTTGGCTTTTGTAATAACTGAAAGTCTTTAGATGTGAAGAAAATTTCTCACCTTTTTTGAAGGTAGTTGACCTGTGAAAATGACGTTCTTAGAATCATCGATTCTTTCTATAGCCAGATCACTGTCAATGTGAAGAAAAGAAAGAGTGAATGTGAGCACTTGATCTTATAAAATCACAGATTCAAGACCCTTTCGTAAGATCCATTAAGACAAAGAAATCATAGCTAAAAAACTTTCTCAGAATAAAATCTTCAAACAATTATGGGGCATACCTTTTCACGCGTTTGTTTTTTGAAGCAATTAATTCCATTTTCACCTCAGGCGCTTCAAAAGCAACTGGAATATGAAGATAAAAATGTGAGTTGCCCTGGCCCCAGCTTTAAAAAATCCTTAGTGAGACTCCAATCCCCAAAGCGAAGAACACATAATTTGACAAAATTAACAAGCATTCTAATAGAAACGCCAAACTTATATATCAAAATCATGCGACATATGCTGAAAGAAGGCTGGGGACGGGGATCTAGGGTTCAAGATGGTGAAAGAATGATATAGTGATTTGATGTATGGATGCACGGTGCAGTGGATATCGAGAGAATGAGAATCTTGAGCATCAAATCTTGTGATGACGGCGGAGGTCGTGAAGCTGTGAAACAACGGTGAGGGTAAGAAAGGAACCAACCAGAGATCACTTTTCTGGTAGCGATCTCCTCCAGATGGTTGTGAATGAACCCCTACAAACCAGCTCTGAAAATATCATCATATTTCACTGCGAACTCTAAATGAAGCACTCGATGTAGGGAGGGGGAGAAAGAGCGGCCATGGTTATGGGGAAAAGAACACGCCTAGGGCAAATGTGGGGAAAAGAACACGCCTAGGGCAAATGAGGGGAAAAGAGAGAGGGTTTTCTAATTTTTTTAGGATTTTCTTTTCCCGCTATATTAGTTGCTAAAGAGGAGCCGTGCGTTTGTAAAATTATAAAGCGACATTTATAGAGGACGCGTTTAAGATAAGCGCCCTTCGTGTTTTCTTTTATGAGACACTAAATTAACGGCGCGCAAAAATACGTATTCTAAATCCTATAAATTTAGGGAGAACTGACATTATTTTTAAGACACGTGCTTTTGTGTATCGTAAATCTGAGCGTGTCGTGGTTTGCGCGTCATTAAAGGGCTATTTTCTAGTAGTGATTACAAGAGGATTAATGCATATAAGTTTAGAATCTAACAGATTTCAGTAAATGGCATGAATTTGGAATTCTTGCATTTGCAGTAAGGATTTGGGAGTGTGAAAAGAGAATCATTGAAGTTATGTTCAATTGATCTAGTTCACAAAGTAAAGATCATAGACAAACATAGTATGCATACTTGGTGTGTGGCATGACTAGTGTTTAGTAAAAAAAAGATAGTGTACATGCTTGGAGCATGGGACAACTATTGTTTTAAATTCAAGAATAAAGTTGATAGCTGAAACAGTATACAATGAATAATGTGTAATCATATGGTGATAAATAAAAGGTGTTTTATTTATGTTCATAGGTTTTGATACCATATTGGATTCAATTATTCTTGTGTTTCACTTTGCATGTTTTGACTTCCCAAATAAACTAGGTTATTCTTTCGGAATGACTAAGTTATTCAAACCATCCACAGTCGGTCATATGTTGGAAGTAGATATGAATTAAGACTGTCATGGGTTGACTTGTAGAGGTCTAAGGTGTTGGACAAAGGGCTACAACACTCATGAGTGCTCATAAGTTCTGAGTATTGGATTCAACCCGCTCTCATTGGAATCACTTCATGGATTTAATCACGAGTGATCATGAGATGATAATATCTTATATTCTTCAAACCTAGAGATATAAGTTGTTACTATGAGTTGGTTGTACATTGATTGCACGAAAACGCATTTGGTAACTCGATGCTATAAAACGTGCCTTTGTGTATGATTCAACAAGTAGTAGAACAAGCCATATGAGTCGAAGTTTATCCATTCCTTTTACCTTTGGGATAAAAGCGATATCTGTGGGCCCCTCAATGATTTGATGATAACAAATGGAAGTGCTCGGCCGGGCCAGGACTGATTTGATTTGTTCAATTAGTCAGTCGTCATAAATCGGAAATCGGGAAACAACAAATGGACAGAGAGAATGATTATAATCCATGTCTCAGTCCATATGATATCTAGAATGGAGGAATATATGATTCCTTATCTAATGGACAAGTTCGTTGACAAGATCAGAGTTCGACAACGGCTTTAAGAGCTACGATTGCCAGTTAGGTTTGAAGTCATACGCAATAATAGTTTTAGACTTATCCAAGTGGGAGACTATTGGATTAATGTCTAAGTCCATAACTATATTTGGTATGTACTTGACCCGACCCGGCATGGTCCATTTGGGTTGCATTTCACCGACACAATTTTATATGGATAATCTTTTGAGAATAGTATGTTTATGATTACATATTAATATATTATAAGTTCTAATATATTATTATGGACTCATATTATTTAATTAGTATTGATCAAGAATTAATTTATAATTAATTAAGTGATCAAAAGGAACTAATTAAATATGGACTCTTATATATATATAGAATGGGCCAAGTTCATTTAGGTTGGGCTAAGCTTTCATGGATAGTCCATGGAGTGTTTAACCCATGGATCTTGGGAAATGAAAGGTCATGGGTATTAGAATTTAACCCTAATCCTCCACACTATATAAAGATGTCCTTGGTTGGTGAAATTGGCACTAGTGTGGTACACTAAAAAGGGCTAGCCGATTTCACTAGAGAGAACCAAGTATCCATATTCTCTAAGGTCTTCCAAGGTGTTTTGGTGATTTGTGATTCCACTTGAGGCTTCCACACTATTGGGGCTAAGCTCTTAAAGCTTGAAGACATCAAGCTACATTTAAAGGTATGTATTCTATCTTGTTACATTCATTGATTCGTATCCTAGATTAGGATAATACCTAGGAAGTTCTTATTTGCATGTATACCAGAGAAAACATAGATCCAAGGTTTATAGGGTTGCATGTACACCATAGGAGTGTTAGAATGCTCAAAACCCAACAATATGAACATATAAACATATAATCATGCTAACACATACGATATCTCAAAGCCAATGACATACAAAATAGTCATCCGACCTCTCCCGAGATTGAGCCCCGCTCGGTATACATACCGACACCTAACACATGCTTGAGTCACAAAAAAATCTAACATCCTAACATAATAATCAGGAGTTAGAATTAGTGCCTTCAACTCGCTAAACCCAGTGAGGAAACTCACCTCAGACTACTGAATCTCACAGATAAATCTCTAACTGCTGGCTCGCTAAAATCCCTACGCTATCACTCACAATATAACATCAAAATAATAATTGGATCCCGAATCACACTAAGAGTCCAAAGAAGGTTAAAAGATCTTTTTACCCTTTACCCAACTTGGCCCAAGCCCAAGGCCCAATCCAACTGTTCAAAAGGCCTAAATTCTAAAATAATCACCCAAAGCCCAAATATTTTCTAATTTTCCAAATTGGATCTAAGTCCCTTCGTGGGCCTTCAACCAAGTGAACCTAAAATAAAAGCATCAGCCCAAAATAGACCTGATAGCCCAACAAGGCCTTGATCATCTAGATTCCAAACATGGCCCAAGCCGAGAAGCCCAAACTTTCGAATCCCATCTCCGATGTACATTGGGTGTACTCAGCTCGTATGCTTAGTGTACACGCTTAGTGTACCAGTTTCTAAGTCCAACGTACTCCCCTATTAGCCAACCCTCATCAAAATGTGCTTAATCCATTCAACCGCTACCCCATACTCTCAGTTCTTAACCCAAAAGATGTCTTATCACATAAAGTTGGCAACTTTACATGCATACATGGATTAATGGGGTTCTAGAGCTTAAAAGAGCTTAACAATTGACTTAACACATGCATGAGTCCACAAGCACCATAAAGTTTGCATCTTGATGCTAAAGAAACCCTTAATGTGTCCAGATGTAAAAGGATAAACTCCATAAACGACCTTAGCTCACAAGAACCAACCAAAAGGGACCAAAATAACCAAAAACAAACCAAGGAATAGATCTATGAAATGAGTTGACAAGATATGAACTTTATATGTCTGTTGATGTACCCTACCAAGAATCCGTTAAATAAAAAGGAACCATCAGTCTGAAAGACGAATCCTAGTGACGAACAACTAATGTCGGGCCCCCGTGCTAGCTCTTGTCCTCGCACTCCCGTGATTACTCCTTAGCGCCCAAGCATCAAGGCTAGAGTCGTGAAAAAATGGTACCAACCCACTCGTAGGGTGACCGCTTACGGAACACGGTTCACCACTTACAGAACACGGTTCACCATTTACGGAACACGGTTCACCACTTAGAGTTCACCCGACTTTAACAGAACCTAAAAGAGTAGAAAGTAACGTTGGGGATCTGTTCCGTGTTACCATAGGTATAAATATCACCCTTCTCCCCCAAGAGAAAAGACCAAGATCTAAAACCATTTAACACTCTCTTTACTCTTTCAAATCTCTCTCTCTCTCTCTCTCTCAGACTCTCACTAACTTGATCATCAAAGCCTTGTTCCGAGACAACCTCCCAGATGAAGACTGATGGTATTATCTTTCTTGTTGTGATCCACAAGATCTTCATTTCCACTCTCGGAGAGACGGAGTAAAGCCAGTGACGTATCACAATAGTTGGCACCATCCAGACGTGCACACAGTGCAGCACAACCCGATAACAACAACACGTGCCTACAATGGTGAGAACACACACTATACCGATGCAACATGACAACATCGGACCATACGGTGTTGTGACACACAGTACGACGACCATCAGGTGCCCATCGATTACTTCTCTAGTAAACGAAGAGTTGACGCCAGACACACAATGAAAGCAAGACGGAGTGTCCACGTTTAACAGGTCATGCAAGAAACTAGAACAAACCAAAGCAAACCACGACGTGCAAGCACTGACCCGATGGATCAACAATATTAACTTTTCACCAGATGACCCGAGACCGCCAGTGTGGGACCCCAGAGACCCAATCCTCATAACCGCATGCATAAGACACAAATAAATCCACCAAGTATACATAGATAATGGTAGTAGCACTGACATCTTATACGAACACTGCTTCCAATAATTACCAGAGTCATGGAAGAAAGCGTTGAAGCCCCCAAAAGGTGAACCCCTAGTCGGCTTCACAGGGCATAGTCTATGGCCTCTCGAGACATTACACATCCCACTGATGCTAGTCAGCTACGACGGGAGAGAGAACAAAACACGAAAAATCAAATTCTCTATAATCCGTCACCCAATGGAACAAAATATACTGTTAGGTCATCCAACACTCTACGAGCTATATACTATTCTATTAACAATTCACGACACGGTCAAACTCAGCACAAGGACAATATCAGCAACCATCATCGCCGATGCCCCGTACAAACAAACATGTCACCATATCATGGCGGCGAAGGTCCTAGTCAACGCCCCCAACAAATGAAAAGAAGACCAAAGAAGACCACCCTCTAGAAAAACACATCATACACAATGAACACCCCAATCAAGCAATAAAGATCAGAGCTAACCTATCGGCAGAAACCAAAGCCTAACTAATCACGCTATTAGCATAGTTCGTCGAGGTTTTCGCATGGCAACCCACAAATATGACATGTGTAGAATGAGGGATCATTGAATACAACCTTAAAATATTACCGGGTAGTGCTCCGATTAAACAAAAAAGGAGGGGGTAGGCGATTGATAGAAACTAAGCCATCAATGAAGAAGTTTCGAAACTTGTGGTTGTGGGCATTCTACGGAAAGCAATGTTCCCCACATGAATAGAAAACCCGGTAATGGCAAAGAAGCATGATGGCTCATGGCGGATGTGCATCGACTACTCCGACTTAAACAACACATGCCCAAAAGATCACTACCCCCTCCCTGAAATCGACCAAAAGGTCGAATCCCTAGAAGGTTTCCAACTCAAATGCTTTCTTGATGCCTACAAAGGCTACCACCAAGTTCAGATGGGGTGGGAAAACGAGGAAAATACAAATTTACAGATTGATTAAGGCATGTTCTACTACCAGAAGATGTCGTTCGGCCTTAAGAACATCAGGGCAACATATGAACGCCTAATGGATAAAGTCTTCGTAGAACAGATCGTAAAGAATGTAAAGGTCTATGTCGACGGCGTGGTCATTAAAAGTCGCAGTGAAGAAACATTGCTCCGCGACATGGAAGAGACCCTCCAGACACTAACACAAGCCCATATAAAGCTTAACCCAGGAAAATGCACTTTCATAGTAGAAGAGGGCTAGTTCCTAGCATACCAGATAACCAAAGAGGGAATCAAGCCAAATCAGTTCAAAATCCAGGAATTCCTCGATTCCAAGATCCCGAATAGTATAAAAGGAGTCCAAGAAATCAACAGGAGGCTAACCGTGATAGTCAGGTGTGTCGCCAATTCAGCAGAAAAATCCCTACCGCTATTTCAAACTCTGAAAGGGTGTGTCGACAAGAACCACTTCAAACAGATGAAGGAGGCCGACACAACCCTCCAATGCTTAAAGGGGGCACTACATCAGTTGCCAACAATGGAAAACCCTCTACCAGGTGAAATCCTATAAGTGTACTTCATGGTCGATGATGAAGCCATCTTGCTGGTTCTGGCAGTAGACACAAACAAGATGCAGTCGGTCGATACATTTTGTGAGAAGGTCACTAAAAGTTCCCAAAACCAATTAACTCATCCTGGAAAAACTAGTAACGACACTAATCTATACGGCCAAACGCTTACAGTGCTACTTTCAGGCGCACAAAATCAAAGTGCTGACCAGCCACCTAAAGGGTCTAATTAGTGGTTTGGTCTAGGCTTTCTATGTATTAGGTCCTTTTGGTTATTTGATAGCTGATTATAGTCTATTTGGAGTTTACGGTCACTTGTGATGAGTTTACGGTCGTAAGCTGTTTATGGCCATAAACCCAGGGACGGCCCAATAATGTGTAAATAGGGGTTTGCTAGGTCTTTTGTAGTTGTTGATGCCTCAGTATTCTCAGCTCCTATAACCACAAGTTGTACCAGACGTGATTCTAATAGAAAAGTGTGTGCAAGCTTGTTTGTTCTATATTCTACTCATTCTTAATTGATTTACTGATTGTGTTTGCTATTTGATCACTGGTAAGATCCGTTCTAGGACCTTACAATTGGTATCAGAGCAAAACCAGCGTCAAAGGTACTCTACAATCGATTTTGGACCGGGTTTTCATCTGTTTGCGAATAAAGTTGGTAATTGCTGCAAAAGGGTTTTAGGTTTCGTCAAAAATCTACAAATTCTCTCCATTTTCGAAGCTTACGGCCTTAGCTTATGGCCGTAATCTCAGTTTATGGCTGCAAGCTCTTCTTAGTTTGTGTACCGTAAAGTGTGTTCTTGGACCATAATAAAGAGTATGCATAAACCAGAAACTAACTGTTCTTGGATCATAAATCTTAAGCCGTAAACACCTTACGACCGTAAACTCAGAGTTTATGGACGCAAACTCTCCCTGACCGTGAACTTTGTTTACGGCCGCAAAAATTATTTTGACTGTGTTTGACCAGAAACTTAATTTAATCTTAAATAATTTAATTTCTATTTCATATTAATTTAATAATATTAATGGATTCTCAAAGTCAAACACACCACCATGAGCTGGATTCTGTAATAGGCACAACCACCCGAATTCATACACTCCTGTCTGCTGAAGGGTTCCCAAAATGGAAGTATAGAATTGAAAAGTACATCAAGATGAAGGACTTTAAAATCTAGAGACGCATAATAAAAGATCCTGTTAGAATAACCACTACTGTCTCAATTCAATTGGTTGACAAGAAGATTGAAAATTATACAGATGAAGACTTCGAGAAGGTTGAAGAGCAAGAAAAGGCTTTGGTCACCTTGACCATGGCCCTATCTCCAGACATTGCTCAAGGTTTCAGGGAGTACACTTCTGCTAAGGCTTTATGGGAAGCCATAATTGAAGTCTATGAAGGGAGCAAAGATATGAAGGAGAGTCGCCAAGATATGTTACAACAATGTTTCAATATGTTTAACTACATTCCTGGAGAGACACTTGAAGCACAGCTGCAACGATTTACATCTCTTAACACTAAAATGAGTGTAGCCGGGATTTTCTACACCAAGTCTGAGATAAACAAGAAGCTGCTAAATGCTCTCTAAAGTCTTGGGACATGAATGTAGCTATCATAAAGAAGACTAAGGATCTTAGCCGTATCTCTCTTGCTGAAGTAATGGCTGTCATCAAGGCATGTGATATTGATGACAAGCAGCGAGAGATAAACCATGTGAACTCATACTCAGCAGCGAACCTTCGGATATCCTCTAAAAATTCTCTTTCATCTCTTACTTTTTCTTCTGTAGGTCAATCATTTGCTGATCAGCAAGCTCAAGTCCAGTCCTTCTCCACTCCATCAGCATCTTCTCTTCCTGCTGCATCATCCGTGCCTCTCTCTCAGAATCAATCGTTCATGGCTGCTCAAGCTGCTTCCTCCTCCAAGGTGGCTGCTTCTTCAAAAGGAAAGGAGGGCGATGAAAACCTTGCTCTTGCTACAGGGTTTGTCAACTGCTACAATGTACTTGTGGCTGGAGATCTTCCACCCCAACTGTCATTTGCT